GAGAAAATATTTCTCTTAGGTACAATTTTCATTATAACTGAAGCTCCTATTTATAGAAAACTTCTGATGGCACAACCGTAATAATACAATTACATCAGGGACAAAATAGTCATTCACATACATTATTTTATAAATATTTCACAACACTTTTGTGTTTTTCATATTGCTGATTGCATTATACTCCTCGGCAACTTTATTAAGATGGTCCTACCCGACTCAATTCCGGATTAATCGGTTCCCCTGTAGATCTGGAAACCGGAAGGTCCCTGTACCAAAAAAAAAAAAAAATTATTAAGATGGTCCAATTTCATGTTAATAAAGTTTGGGCCGAAAGTCTATATTTGTGCATTTGTGTGTGGTACATCAACAATAACCATTGTAGAAAAAAGAACATAAGAAGAGTTTAATAATAAATAATGCACATTTAATTAAAAATTAGTAACTTAAGGATTGAATAAAACTCATAAACTAATGAAGGTTCAAAGAACTAGTTTTAAATAATTTAAAAGTTAGTTGCTTTTTTCAGGAGTTCTCGTATATGATTAGATTAACCAAAACTTCTCAAAATTATATATAGTCAAGCTAACCTTAAAACATGCTATGAATATTGTCTGGTAATGATATGGCACAAATATTAAATATATATGCACATACTTAAATAGCATTCATTTCCACAACATGTTGAGTTCACGATACAGAACAAATCCCAAAAGACTTTCAGTAAAGGTGGCTTGGAAGAGTAGGCTCCATGACTATGGAGATAGGGATTTTGGGATGTGTTGCTAGCCCATACTCCTCCTCCATGCATATATCCTCACGGCTCATGCCCTCGGTCAATCTCAAATCGAACCCGTGTAGCAAATTAGACAACGTCATTCGGACCATCTTAAGCCCGAGGCTATACCCGGGACATCTCCTCCTTCCCGACCCGAACGGCAAACGTGCAAAATCACCACCCAACAAGTCTACCTCTTTGCCTAAAAACCTCTCGGGCGAGAATTCCTCGGGTGCTGCCCAAACCTGTGGGTCCCGCCCGATGCTCCACATGTTGATTAGGACACTTGTTCCCTTTGATATGTTGTAGCCTTTGACTTTGCAGTCTTCAAGCGCGTAATGTGGCGCGAGTAAAGTGGCGAGCGGGTGTAGTCTAAGCGACTCCATGATGATGGCTTCTACATAGGGTAGTTGAGAGAAGTCATACTCGTTTACCCATCTCTTTCTCCCGATGACCCTGTTGAGCTCGTCTTTAGCCTTTTCGATTACGTGAGGGTGTCTAAGGAGTTCGAGGATTGTCCACTCGACTGTGGTTGCTGAGGTGTCCGTGCCTCCGAGCAATAGGTTCTGCAGATAGATGTTCTCATCATAAGATAAATCGAAATATTGAGTACCAAAACTAAGAGGGTGCATTCGTTTGCGATTTCTAAAGACTTTTTAAGACTTAAAAATTTTTAATGTATTTAATTTGGACTTTTTGAGATTCTTAAAAGTCTCAAGGTATTATTTGATAATTAAAAAAGTCATCTCAGATATTTAACTGACTAGAATTTGTTAAGACGTTTTCAAAAGAAAAAACTATATCATGTGGAATCATACTCTAAATTCCAAGACACACTTAAGATTTCTAGGGATCGTCTATTGTCAGGTACCCTTCGTACCTACCTAACATTAGGTACCCTT